CTTTCCCTTGTTTCATTTCCCCACTGACTTGCTAAAATTTGCCATTCATACTCTTCCTCAAAGTCAAGAACCTGGGGAACACTTCCTTGAAGTCTTTTTGATGCTCCTTTCTGAGAATCTGCTCTTTGAGATAGGCTTGACTTTGATGTCACCTCCTCATTCTCAGTCATGGTCTCCCACTCTGGTAAAAGGAATTAAAAATGCAAATATTATCATATCCCTGTGTTAGTGAGAACAAGATCTTCAAATGACTTTAAAACAAGCTAGAAGGAAACTTTTATATGCATACAAAAAGGAGAAGATTTTTGTTAAATGAGGGTATAAAGCAGAATGCTAATGCCAGAATGTTGTAAATGGATTAACATAAAATTCATTCTGAGATACTTCTAAGCTATTTGCCTTCAGGGAGCAGATGGAAACATAGAAAGGATTCTGAAAAAACAGATGCAAGGAAGAACCAGAGAAAGAACATGGGATCTTTCGTAGGTGGTTCACACTTGAGGCTCAAGAAGTTGGATGGGACAAAAAGAACCATTTGGCTTATAAAGAGCTGTCTTTTTATTTTCTTCTTGCTAGGAAGATGGGAACTCTAAAAGAAAGAAAATATACCTAAAAACTTGGAAGACAATCTTTAATTTTTGAAGTCAAGTGTATAAGCACTTTTTTTTTTTTCTTGCGGTACACGGGCCTCTCACTGTTGTGGCCTCTCCCATTGCGGAGCACAGGCTCCAGATGCGCAGGCTCAGCGGCCATGGCTCACGGGCCCAGCTGCTCTGCGGCATGTGGGATCTTCCCGGACCGGGGCACAATCCCGTGTCCCCTGCATCGGCAGGCGGACTCTCAACCACTGTGCCACCAGGGAAGCCCTATAAGCACTTTTTAATTACTTGAAAGCAATTAACCTACAGGGGGAAAAATCCATGAAAAAGCAACTTAATGTTTAGAATTCTCCTTCCAAAATTGAGAAACATAATTTTAAAATTCATTTCACAAAAATATCAGGTCTAGGTTAGACTCCCTCACTTAATACAAAAAAGAAGAAATACAGAACAAAATGAAAAAACAGACATTAAAAACCATGAAAACATCTATAGAATAATGAGGCTAAACTAGTTAACCTCTTTTCTACTCTAACATTCTCAAATATTTTAAAATATGAAATTATATATATTTTAAATGTTTTGGAAACTTATTTTCACCATCCAAATGTGAGAAAAATTATGAACTAGTTCCCCAAATTATCTAATAAGTAAAATTATGTAAATAATAGTAACATTATCTTCTATTTGAGTATAAAAACACTATTCTTCTACCTAAATAGAGAGAAAAGACATGGGAAAGGAGTGTAACTATTTTACTCTATTATGAACTTCTTTAAGTTTATGAGAGTATGAAAATGGAAAACATCCAATAAATGTTAAAGTGAACTACATTCTTAGATCAGGCCCTCATATCTCATCTCAACTGTCCCTCTCTCTGGATTTTGGGTAGGACTGCCCATCACACTACACTGCTTCACTTGGCAGTAGGGATGGGCATGTGTCCTAGGCCTATCCAATACCAGTACTCCAGTTTCCTCGTCCACAGTGATTGTATCAAGACTGGTTTCACAATTTAAGCAGGATGCTGGTGGAAAGGAAGGTTCCCTTTCTTTAAGGAAGTAGAAGTGTTTTAAGGAATAGAAGTGTTCCAAGTGGTTAAACTGAGATGGAAAATGGTTAAGAAATGAGCAACTTTTTATACAGTAGCTAATTAGCTGGTTAAATGATCTGAAATTTTAGTATAGAAATCAGACTATGTATGGGCCTATTGAGCTTTAAGAGACTTGGGAGAAAAATATCAGAATGAGAGAGGAAGCTGGTTACTTTCTGCAATCTTTGGTGAAGCCTGCAAGAAAAAGACAGGGTTCCCTACCTCCAATACTGCCCACTCCTCTAATCCATGTCCACTCCATTGCTAATTATCTTTCCAATAAGTATATTTGATCATGTCACTCACCTGCTCAAAACAAATAACCCTTCACTGCTTATAGGATAAAGCACAAATGACTAGAACAGCCCAAGAGCTGCCTTCACCCTATATCTGCCTATTTTTCTGGCGTCACTTCTTGTTAGTACCCTTTATGCCCAGAGACTCTAGGCATGGAAAACTACGTAGAGATGCCCAAACATGTCATGTTTTTGCTTGCTTCTCTATCACTGCCCTTGCCCCTTTCTCTTCCCAAATTGCTCTTCCTCATCCCAATTTGCTACCTGCCCAAACCTACAGCGTTAAAAACTAAGTACAGAAGTCACCCCCGCCCCCGGAATTACCACTGATCTTACAGAAATAAAAAAAGGATTATAAAGGAATACCATGAATGATTCTGTGCCAATAAATTGAACAACTTAAGATGAAATGGCTAAAATCGCAGAAAGACACAAACCACTAAAATTGACTCAAGAAGACATAGAAAATCTGAATAGTTCTATAATAAGTAAAGAAATTAAATCAGTAACCAAAAAACTACCCACAAAGAAAACCCCAGGCCCAGACTATATCACTGCTGAATTCTACCAAACATTAAAAGAATACCAATTCTTCACAAACTCTTCCAATAAATAGGAAAGGTGGGAACACTTTCCAACTCATTCTATGAGACCAGTATTACCTAGATACCAAAACCAGGCAAAGATATGAGAAAAAAAGAGAAAACTACAAACATATCTTATGAATACAGACATAAGAATCCCCAACAAAGTATTAGCTAACTGAATCCAGCAACATATAAAAAAGAATTATACACTATGACGAAGTGGGATTTATCACAGGAATGTAAATGCTGGTATAACATCAGATAATCAATTAATGTAATATACCATATCAACTGTATAAGGGACAAAACTCACATAATCATCTCACAGATACAGAAAAAGTGTTTGGCAAAGTCCAAAACTCCTTCACCATAAGAACACTCAACAAAGTAGGAATAGAAGGGAACTTCCTCAACCTGATGCAGGACACCTACAAAAAATTTAAAGCTAACATCATACTTAATGGTGAATGATTGAATGCTTTCCCTCTAGGAGCAGGAACAAGAAAAGGATGTCTGCTCCTGCCACTTCTGTGCAACAGTACTGGAGGTTCTAGCCAGGTCAATGGGGCAAAAGAAAGAAATAAAAGGCACCCAGATTGGAAAGGAAGACATAAAACTATCTCTATTTGCAAAAATTGTATATAGAAAATCCTAAAGAATCTACCAAAAAACTATTAGAACTAAGTAAGTTCAGCAAAGTTGTAGGATAAATATCAATATACAAAAAATCAGTGGTATTTCTGTACATTAGCACTGAACAATCAAAAAACAGGAAATTAAGAAATAATAGCATCCGGGAATTCCCTGGTTGTCCAGTTAGGACTTGGTGCTTTCACTGCCAGGGCCCAGGTTCAATCCCTGGTTGGGGAACTAAGATCCTGAGAGCCGCACGGTGTAGCCAAAAAAAGAAGAGACCAATATTCCAAAAGTTAAATGGGCAAAGAACAGTACTAGGTAGTTCGTAACATATGAAAAGATACTCAACCTGACTAGTAATGAGGGTGCTCATGAAACCAAATTGAAACAGCAATGAGATTTCATTTTTTCACCCGCTGTAAATCCTTCCCTAAACCATCCACCCCTCCCCCCACCTTCCCAGTTCTTCCATCTAACCAAGCTCCTATGTGCTCCCGCACTCACGCATACTTTTATTATATAACATTTGTCACACTGTATTGTAATTATTTGTGTAAATGTCTTTTACTCCAACTTGAATGTACTTTATGGCAAGGGCTAAGTTTGATGTGGGAGATACTTAATATTTCTTGAATAATTGCCTTCAAATCCTATTCCAATCTCTTAAATGAACATATACAAGTCTTTTACATATTGAAGAAGTATGTGCAAGCTATCTGGGAGTCTGCTTTTCTACCAGCTTATCAATGCACAGAAACTGAGTGCACAAAACTGTCAAATATGATAGTGTCACAGTCTACCCCTAGGTCAAAACACCATGGGCTGTGTAGTAAGTACTTTCTATGTCTGGGAGAATTTGGTCGTGCCCAACTTTTAAACATTATAAATCCTTCGCGGGGACTAGATTCTTTAGACACATTACTTATTTTCCCTCTTTCTGAACCATTTCCTTAAGGTAGCCTCCTCAAGTCAGAATTACTAGGTCAAAGAGCATAAACACCTTGGTATCTGCTTGCCCAAAGCCCTAACAGCATTGCAGTTAGAGCATATCTTACTTATTAAAGTTGATTCAAACTTCTCTTCCCTTAAAGAATTGGAATAAATAAGGAATTACATTTTCTTCTCATTTTTAAAATTTAACTCCAAATTTAACTCCGGATCCATGGTGAGTGTTTTTCATAAAATTAATCAATTAACCCATAAAGCATGTTTTAAAATTCTTCAAAGAAAAGATGAATTATTGAGTAAATAGCATTAGAACTACTGAAAGCCACTTGGGTTAAAAAAAAAAAAACAAGCAAACATACAAACTGGATTCCTATGTCATTCTGTATATCAAGATAAACTTTAGATGGACTAAAGCTTAAAAGTAAAAACGAAACAATGAAAATGTCTGAAGAAAATAAAGGTGATTTAAAAACTAATAATTTTATGGAGGAGACCACAAAGGAAAATATTGCTGTTTGACTACATGAAAGATTTTCTAAGACTTAAAAAATAATGATAATAGGGGCTTCCCTGGTGGCGCAGTGGTTGAGAGTCCGCCTGCCGATGCAGGGGACACCGGTTCGTGCCCCGGTCTGGGAGGATCCCACATGCCGCGGAGCGGCTGGGCCCGTGAGCCATGGCCGCGGAGCCTGCGCGTCCGCCTGGCCTGTGCTCCGCACCGGGAGAGGCCACAACAGTGAGAGGCCTGCGTACCGCAAAAAAAAAAAAAAAAAAAAAAAAAAAAAAAAAAAAAATAATGATAATAATAATACCACTGAAAGGCAAACAAATGGGAAAATGTGCAACATGTGACAAAGGGTTAGCAGTTCTAATAAATAAAAGAAATATGTAGAAAAGATATGAATAAGCAGAAAATGACCAATAAACACGATAACACTAATAATCAAAGAAATGAAACAAAAATAAACAAAAGACAGTATTCTTCATCTAGCTAGCAAAGTTTTAAAACAGTGACCAGGGCTTCCCTGGTGGGGAAGTGGTTAAGAGTCCGCCTGCCAATACAGGGCACACAGGTTCGAGCCCTGGTCTCGGAAGATCCCACAAGCCGCGGAGCAACTGGGCCCATGCGCTATAACTGAGCCTGCGCTCTGGAGCTCGTGAGCCACAGCTACTGAAGCCCGCGTGCCTAGAGTCCATGCTCTGCAACGGGAGAGGCCACTGCAATGAGAGGCCCGCGCACCTTAATGAAGAGTAGCCTCCACTCGCCGCAACTAGAGAAAGCCCATGTGCAGCAACAAAGACCCAACGCAGCCAAAACAAAATAAAAAATTTTAAAAAACCCCCCAAAACAGTGACCAAATCATAAGCACATACAGGGGAAATGGGCCCTCTTGTACTCTTTTTGTACAAGTGTAAATTGGTATATCACTGATAGAAAGTAGTTTGGGAATATGTATCAAAATATAAAATCTACAAAATGTTTGACCAGTACACCATAGCTGAGATACTAAAAGACATATTCTCATATATGTAAAAATATATAGTATAAATTACTATGAACAATAAAAAATTTACTAAGGTTGCTGGGTACAAAATTAATAAACAAAAATTAAATATTTTTATGTATGCAAACAATGATCAATTAGAAAACATCAGAAAAGTTTCCTATTTCAAAGAATCAATGTAACCAGAGTATGTAAGATCTACTTGAATGCAATTTTAAAACAGGCCTGAAACAGACAAAGGCAGTATGAACAAATGGAAAGATATGTAATGTTCTTGAATAGAAATTCACTATCCATAAAGCTGTCAATGTAAAGCATGATACTCAGACAATGAAATACAAAGATACTTCCTTCATGGCCTTTCCTAATCCCCAGGAACGGTACTGGTTGTTTTGTCTTCTTCATTTCCATCTCAAGAGGCTTACGTCACTCTATTACCAATTATTTTACCCTGCCTTGTTTATTCTTTTTATGTTCATCTCCCAAATCATGCTACTTAAGGGCAGAATCACGTCATTTCCATAGTTGCCATTACATGGTAGGTGTTTAATGTTTGTTGGAAACATAAATGGCAAACTGTTTTTAAAAAAATACTCTTGTTATTAATCAAAGAAATCCACTTGACAATAAAGATATTATAACTTAAAAAATTATATTAACAATAATTTAAAAGAATGGGACTACTCAGCAGCAATGAAGGCAGAGCCAAAGGAGTGGTTCTTATGTACAGCTGGTAAGAGCAGAGAGGACTGAGATCACTATGGAAAGCAGTTTGGCAGTATGAAGCAAGAGCCTTAAACACTTAGGCCTAGTAATTCTACTTCTAAAAAATAATGAGAAATTTAAAAAACAAAAACAGGGGCTTCCCTGGTGGCACAGCGGTTGAGAGTCCACCTGCCGATGCAGGGGATACGTGTTCATGCCCCGGTCTGGGAGGATCCCACATGCCGCGAAGCAGCTGGGCCTGTGAGCCATGGCCGCTGAGCCTGCGCATCCAGAGCCTGTGCTCCGCAACGGGAGAGGCCACAATAGTGAGAGGCCCACATACCACACACACACACATAAAAACCTTAGGCATAGAGATAGATTATTATTATGGCAATTATTTAAAATAAAGAAATGGCTAAGTAAATTATGACACAAATTACGCAGCCAATACAGATAATTGTTGCAAAGAATTTGTGATAATATGAGAGTGAGGTGACTGCAAAGAACGCAAGCTATAAAACTGTATATATTCATAAATACACAATCTCGAAACAATGTAAAAAACCTCAAACACACAAAAAAAGCCAGAAAGGTAATATATCAAAATTTTGATAGTAGCTGTTTGCCAATAGTGGGTTAAAAAAATTTTTTTTCTCCTAATATTCTGTGTTTTCCAAAATAAGTATGCTATACTATGTTCATAATCAGAAAAACAAACAAAAGCTGGGACTTTCCTGGTGGTCCAGTGGTGAGGAATCTGCACTTCCACTGTAGGGGGAAGAAAAAAAGAAAAGAAAAACAAACAAAAGCTGATGAAGTTCCGGGGGAGGGAGACGCAAGAGGGAAGAGATATGGGGATATATGTATAGGTATAACTGATTCACTTTGTTATAAAGCAGAAACTAACACACTATTGTAAAGCAATTATACTCCAATAAAAACGTTAAAAAAAAAAAAAGGTGACGAAGGTAAGAATTATGGGGAAAAAGTGTCCTTACCTAAGGAAGTCACATTTCCATAATTCTCCAGCATCACATCCCAGTACAAAGCCCTCTGAATTGGGCCCAGACATGCCCATTCCTCTGAAGTGAAGCATACTGATACCTCCTCAAACATCACCAATTCCTGAAATAACAGGTATGTTTGAGATTATCCATGCCCACGAAGCTCCCCTGCTGAAAGGTCCCTTTCACTTCTGGGGAGGACATGTTGTGACGGTATGAGGTGGGCAAGGGATATCAGGGAGACAAAGGAGACCCCACATGAAGTCTGCCTTCCAATAGCATAGACCTTGATTTAGAGATGGGAGCTGACTGGACACCCAAGCACGGGATGAGAGATACTCCAGCCACAATTAGGATACTTCAGCCACAATGAGATAGTGCAGATAGGATCTTAGGAAGAAAAGAGGATGCAAATCTTACCTGGGGCTGGGCTGTCAGGAGCATGAGAGCCATTAATTGATTTCTTGGGTTCTCTTCCTGGGAAAGGGCAGAAGCTTCAGGGGCAGGAGAATCTGAAGGAGAAAAAGCTGCATATGAGATAACTGTTGTTCCTGCCCACTACTCCAAGTCCAATATTTTTATCTTCTATAAACAAGGAATTCAAAAAGACACAGAGCTCCCAGAACTAGGCAACGATGGCTATAAAATGACCTACAAATCTTTTCTGACCCCCACGTGCAGGGCTGGAATAGCACAAAGAACAGCAATAAGAATGGATAAAGGAGGACTTCCCTGGTGGCGCAGTGGATAAGACTCCGTGTTCCCAATGCAGGGGGCCCGGGTTCGATTCCTGGTCAGGGAACTAGATCCCACATGCATGCCGCAATTAAGAGTTCACATGCCACAACTAAGGAGCTGGGGAGTCTAAACTAAGGAGTCCCACGAGCCACAACTAAGGAACCCGCGAGCCGCAAATAAGACCCAGCGTAACCAAATTAAAAAAATTTTTTTCAATTAAAAAAAAGGGCTTCCCTGGTGGTGCAGTGGTTAATAATCTGCCTGCCAATGCAGGGGACATGGGTTTGAGCCCTGGTCCCGGAAGATCACACATGCCGCAGAGCAACTAAGCTTGTGTGCCACAACTACTGAGCCTGTGCTCTAGAGTCTGTGAGCCACAACTACTGAGCCCACGTGCTGCTACTACTGAAGCCCATGTGCCTACAGCCCATGCTCCGCAACAAGTGAAGCTACCACAATGAGAAGGCCACGCACTGTAACGAAGAATAGCCCCAGCTCGCTGCAACTAGAGAAAGCCCGCGCACAGCAACAAAGACACAATGCAGCCAAAAATAAGTAAATAAAATAAATAAATTAAAATAAAATAAAAAGAATGGATAAAGGGTCAGAGGGACCCAGGAAAGGACAAGAGGGAGAACAGGAAAGAGCTTGGTACCACAAGGGGTTCATATAAGGGCAGGAGAGGAAGCAACTATCTGGGAATAGGGAGATGAGCCACAGTAAGAGTCCTGAGAAAAGTCCAAAGTCATAGCCAGTAAGTTACCATGTTGAGGATCTTGGAGCAAGTTGAACACCACTGGGTCAGTAAGAGGATTTGAGCGAATTTCAGCTGATATGTGGCTGCCAGTGGGTGCATGAGGAAGTGCTATTCCTGGAGTGCTCAGACCCTCCTGGAGAGTGTCCTGATCCTGGACAAGGACTGGAACCTGGGAACAAGCAGAACAAAATAAGCTGACTCTTCTTGTACCTCCAGAAAATGGACTCACCTAACATGGACCTCTTTCTGCCCGTAATCTAGAACTGTGAGATGAGAGTGACCCACCTCAAGTATGGAGCATCAAAACAGCAGTAAAGCTTTGCCTTGAGAACAATGGAGCTGCCCTCTAGCCCCACTCATGGTACTGGTGACCTCTCCCAGAGGAGACTGAACACAACGGTGGAAACAGAAGCCAGACCTGGGTGTGGGTTAAGGAGGGAATGGGAAGTAACAAGCAATTAAGAGCTTCAGACCTCGTTTTAGATTACACCTGGGTTCAATACACTCTTCCACTTATTTACCCCTTTACTTATCCCTTCCTGCTCCAATAGAAGGAACACTAAAAGTCTAGACATTTGCTTTTGTTGCTAACTAGATGTCTCACCTAAGACAATGTACTGAACCTTTTCCTGCCTCCATTTTCTTATCTCTCAATGAGATAGATGGATTAGTGATTAGTACTGAAATATATAGCTCTAAATTCTTCATTTTTATGATTTAAACAGATAAGCCCATCCTTGGTACCACTCCCAAGTTATATTCCAGACTTCTTATATAGAAATGTTTCTAGTGGGCTCCAGATTGACAGAAAGAGATCTGACACATACTAGAAACTGTATCAAGATCCCAATTTAATAGCCAAGGATATAAAATCTTATCAGAGGCAAATATCTCAACCCAATCCCTTGGCTCACAGAACCCCCAGTAGGGGAAAACATGGGGAGGTCTTGCCAGATCTAGAAAGTTTCATTCATGCTTTCCCACTGCCTTTTTACTTCAGGCTTACAACATCACTCCAAACATACAAACAATACATATGTTTCTGTTTAGAGGAACACTTACAAACATTACGTTCTTCAGATTCTTGAACCAAACTCAGCATTAGCAAGCATCACCCAAGGAGGCAAAGCAGAGTCAATGCCTTGTGTTGATTCTGAATTGGCCCAAAGACCCCAATCATAAATCCATTTCTCTCAAAAGACATTCTGTGGTCTGAACAGCTCATGAACCTGTTTTAATTACCATTAGGGTTGCTACTGTGTTATTAATTGTTAATGAAAATCACAGCATCATCCTCTATCCCCTCTGTCCTGGGCCTACTCCCTCCTTCCACCTCAAACTCTTCCCCCTTCCCCTTTCTCACTTTTAGTGCTGGTCCATCGAGGTCTTTCTGCAGCTCCTCTACCAGGGCCACTGCCTCCTCACCACTCCCGGGGCGATGGATCTGCACCCAGGTCCGTATCTCTCCGGGCAGGATGCTCAGGAACTGCTCCAACACCAGCAGCTCAAGGATCTGTGCCTTGGTGCGTGCTTCTGGCCTCAGCCACCGGCGACAGAGCTCCCGGAGCCGGCTCAGTGCCTCCTGGGGTCCAGATGTCTCATGGTAACGTAACTGTCTAAAGTGCAGGTGGGAGGTCTCCCAAACAGAGGAGCTGCTCCCTTGGAAGCTGGTTCCCCACTTCCAGGTATCATCCTTCCCTTTAACAAGGCCCTCTTGTCTCAGAGCACTGTGGGCCCAATTTTCTCTTGTCATTGTTGTTATTTAAGAAAGGCTCCTCTCTAGGGCCCCTCAATCCTTGCTTGCCTTCTTCCTTACAGCTTGGAGAACATCATCTATAAGACCTCAAGAAATCATTGTTAAAGTTAACCCAGAGAAACAATCAGGTTTTCCAGACCCCAGTTAGCTCTCACTAATGAAGAAACTTCCCTGAATGCAAAGTTCTAGATTCTGGGCCACGCCTCCTCTAACAGAAGCCCGGGCCCAAGGCTCTAGGGACACTAATATGCATGTTACCCAGACCACTGCTGATATCAAAAACATGAAATTCTTTTGGTCTTTTTTTTTTTTTTTGGCCACGTGGCATGTGGGATCTTAGTTCCCCAACCAGGGATCCAAGCCGCGCTCCCTGCATTAGAAGCACGGAGTCTTAACCACTGGACGGCCAGGGAAGTCCTTTCTTTGGTCTTTATTCACTTTCTCCTCCACCTAATTACAATAAATCCTTTAACCACCATTCTAACAATGGGTATCCTGGCTACTCCTGTGTGACCTTGAACAAGTTACCTCATTTCTAAGTCTCAGTTTGTTAACCTGTAAAATAGGGGCAACAACAATTCCTATCTTATGAGTTTGTTGTAAGAATTTGATGTGAAATACATTTCAGGCTTTTGAATACTGCCTGGTATATGGATTCAAATGTTAATCATTATCTTTCTGCAACTAGCACCCTTTCCTATGTTCTTAGGCTTCTGCTTTCTAGAAATAGTGCGTTTTTTAGAAATAGTATGTATCTTATTACAAAATGGAAAATCTGTAAAACCAGAAAACACATACAAAACCAAAGAACAATCGCTGCTATTGTTCTGGACTACATTTTTCCAGTCCTTTCTCTAATGGGCAATTTGGATCACAAAACTGGATCCAACTGTACTGCTCCATAATTTCACACACATTGTGTTGCAAACACAACATCAAATATTCTTCATCATTATTTTCAAGAGTACATCAGCCCATGGGAATTTCCTGGTGGTGCAGTGGTTAAGAATCCGCCTGCCAATGCAGGGGATACGGGTTCAAGCCCTGGTCCGGGAAGATCTCACATGCCGCAGAGCAGCTAAGCCCGTGTGCCACAACTAGAGCCTGCGCGTTCAAGCCCTGGTCCGGGAAGATCTCACATGCCGCAGAGCAGCTAAGCCCGTGTGCCACAACTACTGAGCCTGCGCTCTAGAGCCCGCATGCCACAACTACTGAGCCAGCATGCCACAACCACTGAAGCCCGTGTTCCTAGAGCCCGTGCTCCACAACAACGGGAGGCCACCGCAATGAGAGGCCTGCGCAGTGAGAGGCCCCCACTCACTGCAGCTAGAGAAAGCCCACGTGCAGCAACGAGGACCCAACACAGCCAAAAATAAATAAATTTATTTTTAAAAAAAAGAGTATATCAGCCCATTCATACTTTAGTCCCCTGTTGTTAGACGTTTAGATTATTTATAATTTTCTCCTATTACAAATTCAGCTGTAATGACCATCTTTGCTAATGAATTTTTGGTTACATTTCTGCTTATTTCTTCAGGAAAAATTCCCAGAAAAGAAGCTGTTTGGCTGAAAGGTACAAATAGTTTAAACTTTTAAGGTTGTAATAGTTACATTATTATCAGTAACACATAAGAGTGCCTCATTAATTTTATTTAACACATGGACCCTTAAAATTCATGCTTATAATGGAGCAGAGGAGGCCAAAATATAAACATAATTTCAATATAATGTGTGAGTACAATTAATAGGAGGACATATAAGCACAGTAAGAATTCATGAAGGTAATTTTGGGTTGGGCCGTAAAGAAAAAAAGACCACTGGAGTATTAGGAAAGCCACTCCAGGAATAAAGAAACTGTAATTTCAAAAGCAAGGGAGAGACAGCACATATAGCTCTGTTAAAAAGGTTCTTTGCAAATCAGAGAAGGAAGTAAACTTTGAGGTAATTTTGTAGAATTAGAGTGAAGAGGTAAACAGAAGCCAATTCTAAAGGCTACTGAGAGGCAGCCAGAGGCATCCCAAGTAGCCAGAGTGGCACTGTCAAGCTCCTTCCACAGGAATTACACTCAGCATCAAGCCACTGTAGATTTAACCTGTGTCTGTGAGCATCTGTGCTTTATCTAGTTTTACTTTGTACATCTGTTAGCAAGACGTGTCCTAGGGGAACTGCTTATTTGCTTTACATCATTTCAGCTTATGAAAGGTTTCATAAGAATACTCTATTTTCAGGGACTTCCCTGGTGGTGCAGTGGATAAGACTCCATGCTCCCAATGCAGGGGGCACAGGTTTGATCCCTGGTCAGGGAACTAGATCCCACATGCGTGCCGCTACTAAGAGTTCGCATGCCACAACTAAGGAACCTGTTTGCCGCAACTAAGGAGCCAGGCTGCCTCAACTAAGACCTGGCGCAACCTAAATTTAAAACAAAACAAAAGCAACTCTACTTTCAGACATTAGGGGAAACCTGTAGTCTAAACAAATAATTAAAGTTCTAAATTAAGTAGTAGTAGGGATACAACAATTGATAAAAACTGAGCAGTTCTTTGGTAACTGATCTGGGGGTGATGGAAAGGAATTAAAAAAAAAGATTTCTATCCCATGTTCACAGATAGGAAGACTCAATATTGTCAATGTTTCAGTGCTTCTCAACTTTATCTATAGATTCAGTGCAACTCCAATCAAAATCTCAGTAAGCTATTTTGTGGATATCGACAAACTGATTCTAAAGTTCACATGGAGAGGCAAAAGACCCAGAATAACTAACACAATATTGAAGAAGAACAAAGTTGAGGGACTGACACTACCCACATCAAAACTTTCTAAAAAGCTACCGTGATGAAGTCAGCATGGTACTGGCAAAACTGTAGACAAATCAATGGGACAGAATAGAGAGTCCAGAATAGAGAGTCCAGAGAGACCCACATGAATAGTCAACTGATCTCTGAGAGAGAGTCAAGGTAATACAAGGCATCAAATATAGTCTTTTTGGCAAATGGTGCCAGTACAACTGGACATTCACATGCAAAAAATGAATCTAGACACAGACTTCACATCTTTCACAAAAGTTAACTCAAAAGGGATCAAAGACCTAAATGTAATATGCAACACTATAAAATTCCTGGAAGATAACCTAGGAGAAAACCTAGATGATCTTGGGTATGGTGATAGCTTTTTAGATACACACAAAAGGCACGATCCTTGAATGAAATAATTAATAAACTAGACTTCATCAAAATTAAAAAATTGTGCTCTGCAAAAGGCAATGTCAAGAATGAGAATACAGGGCTTCCCTGGTGGCGCAGTGGTTGAGAGTCCGCCTGCTGATGCAGGGGACACGGGTTCGTGCCCCAGTCTAGGAAGATCCCACATGCCGCGGAGCGGCTGGGCCCGTGAGCCATGGCCACTGAACCTGTGCGTCCAGAGCCTGTGTTCCGCAACGGGAGAGGCCACAGCACTGAGAGGCCTGCGTACCGCAATAAAAAAAAAAAAAGAATGAGAAGACAACCCGGAAGACTGAGAGAAAATACTTGCAAAAGACACACACTATTATCCTTCCTTCGTATATTTTATACAGAGAACTCTTAAAACTTAACAATAAGAAAACAAACAACTCAATTAAAATATGGCCCAAGGGGGAATTCCCTGGTGATCCAGTGGTTAGGACTCAGAGCTCGCACTGCCAGGGGCCTGGGTTCAATCCCTGGTCAGGGAACTAAGATATCACAAGCTGTGTGACAAGGGGAAAAAAAAAAAAAAAAAAAGGATAAAATAACTCAAAGACCTAAACAAATACCTCATCAAAGAAGATATACATATTTCAAATAACTGCACGAAAATATGCTCCACATCATATGTCATCAGGGAAATGAAAGTTAAAACAATGAGATACCTTACGTACCTATCAGAATGGCCAAAATCCAGAACACTGGCAACACCAAATGCTGGTGAAGATGTGGAGCAACAGGAACTCTCATTCATTGCTGGTGGGAATTCAAAATGGTACAGCCACTATGGAAGACAGTTTGGCAGTATCTTACAAAACTAAACATAATCCTACCATAAATTCTAGCAATTGTGCTCTTTGGTATTCATCCAAAGAAACTGAAGACATACATCCACATGAAAACCTGCACATGGATGTTTACAGCAGCTTTATTTGTAACTGTCAACACCTAGAATCAACCAAGATGTCCTTCAATAGGTGAGTGAATAAACTGTGGTACATTCAGTCAATGGATTATTACTCAGTGCTAAAAAGAAACAAGCTATTACGCCATGAAAAGATACAAAGGAAGCTTAAATATGGACTACCCAGTGAAACATGCTAATCTGAAAATCTAATATACTGTACAATTCCAACTATATGACATTCTGGAAAAGGCAAAACTACGGAGACAGTAAAATGATCAGTGGTTGCCAAGGGTTGAAGGAAGGGATGAGCAGGCAGAACACAGAGGATTTTTAGGGCAGTGAAACCATGCTGTATACTAAAATGGTGGATACATTATACAAATCATTATAAATCTGTCCAAACCCATAGAATATATAAACACAGAGAGTGAACCTTTATGTAACCTATGGACTTTGGGTGATTAAAATGTGTCTGATACAGGTTCACCAACTGCAACAAAAGGTACCACTCTGGTGTAGGATTTTTTTTTTGGATTTAAGTATAATTATTACACAATGTTGTATTAATTTGTGCTGTACAGCAAAGTGATTCAGTTATACATAAATATACACGCTTTTTGTATTCTTTTCCATTATGGTTTAGCACATGATATTGAATATAGTTCCCTGTGCTACACAGGAGGACCTTGCTGTTTATCCATTCTATAAATACTAGCTTGCATCTGCTAATCCCAAACTCCCACTCCATCCCTCCAGTGGTGGGGGATGTTGATATGGGGGGACGCTATGCAAGAGAGGGGGCAGGGAGTATATGGGAAATTTCTGTATTTTCTGCTTAATTTTCCTGTGAATGTAAAACTGCTCTAAAAAATAAAGTCTGTAAGTAAATAAAACCCGGGGCGGGGGGAGAAGGATTTCTAAATAATTTTCTACAGTAAATTATCAGAATTCTATTTACTCTTACTTTGCAGATAGATACAAATAACAAATCCTTAAACATACATTTTGTTTGCTTCTCACAAAAGGTTCGTGAGCCACACGTTAAAAAGAACAAAAGAAGCCTCAAAGGAACTAAGCGATTCACTCAAGGCCACTCAGTTATGGGAGCAAATTCTGAACTCAGGTATTCTAACTCCAGAAGTCCAAAAGAACTGCATCTAAGAAAAGACTTCTGAAACCCAAACAACTATTCTAAAGCAATGGTTTAGAATAATAATGACAACAATTCATTATAAAGCTTTAATCTGGCAAGCTGTAAAACGAAAATAAACAACCATACGTAGTCACTCGCAGGTTGGCAATGACCTTTCTTGCAAAGGACGGCGTTTACGCTGAGTTTACCATCTTAGTACTTAATGTGAATAATACATTCTCTAAAGCAATGGTGGTACGGCTTGTCTAAGTTTGCTTCTTAAATACCATTATATTACAAAATTAAAAGATGAGAACCGGTCCATACCTCAAGGGGGGGAAAAAAAAGCCCCCATTAGTCTGGGAGCCCCTGCTCCAGGGAAGTCTCAAGCTGTTTCTCAGCATCAGTCTCAGAGAAGATGGGAAAAGAGCAGAAAAGCCTGAGCTGGGGAACCTGACTACTGAGGGCGGTGTTCTCAAAGGGGCAGCACATTCTAACTCGAGGGTCGGTCCACAGACACACAGACTCAGGGGCTCTGTCTTCAATACCTTCCCCAAGCCGCAGCCAAGGCGTCCACCTCAACACGGAGCGGAGGGACCGCCCTGGGGGTAAGGGCCGGAGAGGGGTCGGCGAAGGCTGCGCTGCCCTGGCGAGCTCAAGCCGCACCCCGGGCCGCCCTCCCCGCGTGCCAACCTGACCCGAGCCCACCCCGCTCACCGGGGGCTCCCGCAGCGGCTCCGGCCTTGGGGACCGCAGCCTCGGCGCCGGGACGCCGGGAGATGGCACGGGAACTGGACGCCACAGCACCTGAGGCCCCAAATAATGGCTGACCCGCGGATACCGCGACTTCCGGTCGTTCACCCCACCTCCCAGTCCGGGCTCTCTAGGAAGCCATAGCTCTATGGTTCCTAGTTTTTCCTGGTGAAGGCGAAGAAAAGTGGAGCTCCTGGACCCTTGAGTTTTCATTCCTCCCGACCAAAGAGTAGGCGTAGCTGTGTTCAGAACACAAGGATCAGCGGTGAATCACACGGTTCAGGCCCTCAGGACGCTTGTTGCCTCCTGAAGGAACTGATCCTTTTTGTTTTCATTTGCAGTTCAACTGAGGTTGATGGGGAGTAATTCTTCATATGTCTGAGTGACTTCGTGGGTGACTTTTCCAATCTATTCTTGAACCTGGAGCAGTTCTCACTGTAAATAACATGGCTTATAAATGACTCCCTTGTGAACTGGCTTACTGTCGAGTATCTCTTGCCCAAATGATGAGATAATGGAGCTCTGGTGTTAAATATTAATCAAGCTGAAACTGCGATAGACACTGCCTCTCTGAAATGAGAAAGTTGTTGCAGTTGTCCATCACCCTGGGTAAAGTTAGGTCTGTGTAAAGGAAACTGTACTCTGATTCTCTCTTTGATACTTAGATATTTTAAGTTTGGACTCCTGGAGTTGTCAACCCCTATATGAGACAGACCAGAAAGAGGCTCCAAGACGGTGTTGCAGGAGAGGGAAATGTCATGTCCTGGGACCCACAGGAGCCCTTAGGATGGACCACAGCCAAGTGAGGGTCCTTGGGTTGTGCAGGAAAAAATTCAAGAGCTCACCAAAGAAAAGTGAAAGCAAGTTTATTTAGAGTGATACACACTCCACAGGCCGAATGTGGACTGTCTCAGAAAGTGAGAGCAGCCCCAGGGTATGGGGCTGTAGTTTTTATGGGCTAAGTAATTTAATACGCTAATGAATGGGAGGAATATTGCTGTTACCAGAAGGAATATTGCTATTTCTGGGAAGGGTGGGGATTTCCCAGGAATTGGGCCACTGCCCACTTTTTAGCCTTTTCTGGTCTGTCTGGGAACTGTCATGGCTGAAGGGGCATAATTTTTAGTATTACAATGAAGGTATAATGAGCTAAAGGTCAATGACCAGACTTTTCTCAAAGCTACCTTGCTTACCAAGCAGGTTCTAGCTGGTCTTTATCGAATCCCAACTGCGCTCCATCTTCATTTATCTAGAGTTTGTGTCCTGCCCCTTTCCCTCCTGTATCAAGGGCCAGGGCCATGTCTGTCTGGATCCCTTGTATACTTGGCACCTAGCACAAAGCCATACTAGGTGCTAGATGAACGTTTGTTGAATGAGCAAGGTGTTATTCTGTATATATGTTCTCTCCTGGCTTTCAATGAACACTTGCCTAAACATTTCATCCTCTACTTTTTCATTCATTCAACAAGTATTAACTGAGTACTAACCATGTGCTAGACACTATTTTAGGCACTAGGGACATAAATAAAGAGGTAAAGTCCCTAGAAGCTTACATTTCTAGAGGGGGTAGACAGGAAAACAAATACAAAATATGTCAGGGAGTGATACATGCTAAGCAGAAAGATGGAAAAGACCCAACAAAGGAGGCTTAGAAGCAGCAGCCAACCAAGTAGAAGGAGAACCAGCAGATAGTACTTTATAGGTCTCAAAGCACAAATGGGAGATTTTGAAATAGTAATCAATGTGGCCCCTGCTCCCCCTACACTAAATCATTTTACGTGTACCCTGAGGCCCCTTCTCCTCCCCTGCCTGCCCAAGTAGACAGAGGTTATTCACTGTGAGACTAGAAACAAAGGGTACAAAGACTATACTGTCAGGTCAATAGACACTTTTGGGAGATGGAAAGACATGCTTGCCAAACAAGTGTTTCTGCTGGGGAAGAAGAAAGGAATAAGAGGAGCCAAAATGACTAATTGGGCTGTGGATGACTGACCAGTGAGCCCATAATCATCCACACCCTACCAAGCAGTGGCCTGGAAGGATGTAACCAGAGTTGTCTGCTGGTGAGGACCACTAATTGCCAATGGTCAGCCTAGAGCCCCAGTTTTATCATTCAGTTTGTGCCCTGAGATTCAGCCTGGTACCCATCTGACAGTCAAGGAATTTGAAGCCTCCTCATCCTCACCCCAAGATGAAAGACTTGGTTATCTTGTGGGATGATGGTAGTTGAAAAGGGACACCCTACCTTTGAAGAAGATGGAACTATAAGGAATCTGTTTAAAGTGGCCCAGAGAACTGGGATGTTGGTGGAACACAACACATAGCCTCTATATTATGTACACTCACACATTCTTAGCACATAGAATTCCCACAGGTGAAGTACACTGGATTTGGAATCAGAAAACCTAGCTTTGGGTCCTGGCTCTTTCTCTTACTAGCTCTGTGATGTTATTAAGTCAGCCTCTAAGTCTCAGTTTCTCTGTCGGTCAAATATTGGTATAATGCCTACTTCATAGCGTTGTTGTGAGCATTCAGTAAAAGGATCATGTGAAAATACTTTATGAGACAATTTAGTTGTCAATAAACTTGGATAAAAGAGGTAATGGTCAAAATCTAGAACATGGCATAATGTAATATTTGTTCATTAAGTTAATATTAGGACTTCATGCACCTCAAAAGCAAACAAGAATTAAATGAGTTTGTTAGGGCTATACAGTATATTCAGTTAATTAGGGACATAGGCAAGAATGGAACCCAGATCTTTCTGCTCTTTCTTTTGCAACAGGTTACATGCACCTAAACTGTCCAGATACCATAGAAATTCACTTAAACATAGAACATGCCAACTCTGAAACATTCTTCTGAATAAGCCCCTACTTTAATGCCAATAAATAGCTTGGAAACTTGAGTTCTATTCTTTTTTTTTTTTTTTTTTTTTT